ATAAAGCACAAGAAGTTACATGGATTCTCGATGCCGCTGTATATTCAAATCTCATATATGCACTTTTTAATATCAGAGAAAATAGACCTTGAGGGTGATGCTACTGAGACAATAAAATTAATTTATAACTATCATATTGTTTCTGCAACCAAATAGAACAAATTTGAAGATTTCATAGTTTGCATCACCACAATGAACAGTTTAGCTAAGAAAACTCTTGGTGAAGGACCTTATTCATAGTATTGGTTTCCAATCCTATCGTGCTAAGTGATATTGTCACTTCAAATATTGAAGGAATTTACTGCATATTAATTCATTTAACTTTGACGAAAAGACACATTTTAAGTGACTATTTAATGAACCACAAACCAGAATTTTTATACATTTTTGTATAATTAATTTGCAATTTTCTCAAACTATGATTAATATTCAATTTTCTCAGACCATGTTGCATTGTCAATTCCCACTACTACCCATGTTTCAATTGATCTTCATGATGTTCAGATAAAGAAAAACTAAAAACTAAAACAGCACAATCACATAAGATAATTAATTGACTAATATACCTCCACATGCGAAGGCAACAACTACCTTTACAGAATACCAACCCTTAGTAACTTAGCAAAGATAACAAGTTTAACCTTACAAACTCAAACAACATGATAATGTCTTATTTTTAAATCAAATTATGTTTAAAATGTTTACGTGCTCTTTTTTTTCCCTACCTTTTTGTTTGTATTATGATAGATAAACAGCTCTGAACAAATATATTGGCGTCAAGGAGATCAAAACTGTAAAGAATGTGAGATTAACGTATCCTCTTTGATGACCAGACCAACGAATAATTTTTTTTACCGAGCCTACATTCTTTTAAAACTTATTTCTCAAATACAAATCTAAGTAGTTTTTAACTTATTTCCCAAACCTATTGTTAAAATAAAAAATAAAAAATAAATAAAAAATCATGAATGATGGATTCTTGTTTTGATGTGGATTTGGTAAATAACTCATGAATGATACTAGAGTAATCTATGTATTACAGAGGTAGAAACAGGGTTCATGTATAAAGCAAAGTGAAATTCACTGAATGCTCAACAGGCAGAGAGAGAAAAACATCCATTATTTGTCAGCCTTCCACCAACAAGGTTTCTAAAACCAGCTTAAAAGACAATGTGAGCATCATCAATATAATTACACTAGCTTCTCTTCTTTTTTCTGAAATTACACTGACCTTCCTTGAGGATTACTTTTGATTTGCATGTTACCCCCTTTGTATTAGTTAACCATTAGCTTGACTGAAGATTTTTTTATTATTATTTTTTTTTTTTGGGACAAAAGTTAGTGATTAATTGTTAGATTAGTACATAAGGGGATTTTAGTTTGATTTGTATAACATTTGAAATGATTGTCTATAAATTAAAATTAAAAGAAATCAATTAAACATTTTTTGGGTAAACAAAATTAGTATGAATTATTGAAACCAAATGAAAAATATAAATTTTTAAGTATGCAATGCACAAATTATATATATGTATGGGAAATTCTATGGAATATGTACCCTATGTACATTTATTTACTATCTTTGTAATCTTGATTATGACCCATTGTGATATTAGTTTTGACTCATTGTGATCTTGTTGGTTATGACATTATTTTGATTATAATATAAGAGTTATTTGTTTATATCATATGTGGTGTTTATATCATATTATTTTGATCTTGTTGGTTATGATATTATTTTGATTATAATATAAGAGTTATTTGTTTATATCATATGTGGTGTTTGATTATAGACCTTTGATTTTGATCCCTTGCTCTTATCAAATGAAAGTTACATCCATTAAATTATTGTTGAGAAGCTATTGTCCCTATTTTCAAATTTCTTGACCACACAGATCAATCAAAGATTGCAAAAACTGTGGGGCAACTATTTTGTGATAGAGATTCTCATCAGTTCACAACTATATCAATTTGTAATTATTAAAATTTTGAACTTTCTGAGGCTGCTAAAAAAAAAAAAGAAACAGTTTATTACTGATATACATTACTATAACAAAGCAAAACAAAGTTTACAACAGTTGATGCTGATCATCGAGTTGAATTCATTAGTTTATAGATAAAATTAACCTAATACACTAAATCCAGAAAACATTTTCTTTGTCTGCACTATGTTCTGCTTAAGTTGGCTTGAAGTATTCTACCATGGTTTTCTTCAATAACTGTAAATTAGAATAGAAAATCTCATGAGCTGAATTCATATGTGGCCTTGAGAAAAACGTAAGCTTGTTTGTTTAAGATTATGGACTTTCTTGTGAGATCTTGTGTTCAAATTTGTTGTTGTCGAGACCAGTAGTTAAATGAGTGTCTCCCTTCCTAGCCAACCACCAATGCAGTATTCATTACAAAGCAAAATCATGAAACCAAGCATTTGGATCATAATATTATTTGTTATTAGACATCGCCTCAAAACGTGTTTAGTGGCAATGCATTATCTTTGTGACTGATTTTATGTTCTTGTGATTACCTATGATGTCTCTGTCTGCTGTGTTTTCCCACCTTCAAGTTGTAATTTTTTCTATTTGGTGGGTCTGCAGGTATGTGAGCAGCCTTGGTAATAAGAGAGTTGAACTCTTTGATATGGGAGGAGGTGCTAGTGATCCTACAGCAGATGACAATGTTCAAATGGCGTCCATGTGTTCTATGCTTCTTGTGTTTGTTGTTATTGAATGCCCCCAATATGATTTGTGGCTTATTTGTTTTTGTTGTTAATTCATTTTCTGCAAATTAGTAGTTCTTAGGCCCTAAGTTCTATGATTAGCAGCTTGGATTTTTTCTGCTATTAAGAACTTCTTGGTGGTAGAATCCTATTATATTTCTGTTAGAATTGAAATCTGCCTTCACCTTTTTCTGTAGCTAGTAGCCAATGAATGTAATGATGTTAATGGGTATGAATTATGATTGTTGCTTATGGAATGAGTACAGGAACTTGGAGTAGATAATAGATATAGAGGGAATGTGTTTAGAAATAGAAAATGAAGTTTTTAATGAGGTTTAGCTTAGTACATAAGTGAATTGTCTGGTTATATTTTCTTTACTGTCTTATTGTCTTGCTAATGTTGTAGTCATGATGTGACAGATTGAGTCTTTTTTCTTTTTTTTTTCCAATAATCTATATATTGGTATTAAGAATTAATGAAAGATTAAAGGGTTTTTGTAGCATTTCGTTTATGATCGTGGACTTTGCTTTTAACAATTCCATGTAGGAATGGCAATGGGGGGCAATGGGGTGGATATTAATTTCCCATCCCCATTCCCCTATAATAAATTTTTCCCATTTCCCATTCTCCATTCCCCATGGGTACCACTCTCCCCATTTTTTAATGGGTATGGATTTTCCCCAACCCACTTTAATCCCCATTTTTATTTTTTATATTTAATGTTAACAACCACTTTTTTTTTTCTTTTTTTTTTTAAAGGTTCACAACAAAAACTAAATATACCTTCAATCTTTTTTCTTTCTTTTTTATACTGTCTTATTGTCTTGCTAATGTTGTAGTCATGATGTGACAGATTGAGTCTTTTTTCTTTTTTTTTCCAATAATCTATATATTGGTATTAAGAATTAATGAAAGATTAAAGGGTTTTTGTAGCATTTCGTTTATGATCCTGGACTTTGCTTTTAACAATTCCATGAATTCCTCACATGAGATAGAAAAGATTGCAAATATTTTTATCATGCATCAATCATCCAATGTTATTAGCTATAATTCCCTCTATGAGCATGTCAGTTAAACAATGTTGAGATCAACTATAAACTATGCAAGGTAACCATTCTTCATCTTGTTTTCACAACATAAATGTAAACTGTCTATTTTGAAATAATTATTTTCAAATTTTTGTAACAAGTTGATTTAGTTTAATCTTCGTTAACTCTTGAATATTGATAGTGAATTTTGGGCGGCTTTGTGTACTAAAGGGTTGTTTGGGGTGTCCTAAATAAGTGCACTTTTTTGTATTTTTGGACTAAAAAGTTGAGAAAAAAAATATAGATGTTTCGGTTAACTTTTTGACTTTTTTATGAAAAAATGTGTATTAAAAAATTGTATAAATAAGTGTGTAAGAAAAGATAGGGTAGGAGGCCGTACAGACTGGCAGTGGAGTCTGCCGAGTGAGTAGATGAGAAAATATTGTCTCCTTCTTGGGCTTGATTGGATGGTGTTGTTTGGCCCGTGAGGGCCATCAAGGGTCCCGTTTTTCTAATCGGAACCGTTCAATGTGTAGAACTCGTCAAGTACTAAATGTTTGTAAAAAAATCACATTGATTGGATATCGATAGCTATCTGATCGTGTTAATTTTTTTTGTCAACTGTTAATTATAACACCGTCTATTTTATACAAAACTGATTTGATCATGTAGTTAGCGATATCCGATAGACGCGGTTTTTTACAGGCATATAGTACTAGACGAGTTTTACATATTAAACGGTTCAGATTATCAAAACGAGACTCATGGTGGGCTCCCATGGGCCCAACTTTACTATTCAATTTAGTGAATATACACATAATTATTTTTTTTTTTGGGTTTCTGTCACTGACTGGTTCATCACGTCAGTACCAATCTTGGGCCATCTACTTTATATGTATTAATATTTGTATATTAATTTTTTAATATTTTTTTTTTTATGAATAGCGAAGACTTTTTAATTTTTTGAATAACTTTTTGACTTTTTCTAAGGTTGCCAAACCAGTCCTAAGATTTATGTGTGTGATTGCTGCAGACACTACAATTGGCACATTAAATCGCAATCTATTAAATTAATCTATCATTGGATAATGTTTAATTAGTAATCTATTCGAGAGTTTGGCCTATTCTATGCAGGTCCTGCAAGCTTGTGTCAATTTGAAACTTGGGAGCTGTTTGCTAGATTTTGAATGCATTTCAACAAAGCCATTGAGAAGAAGATGCAATGAGTTGAGTTGTTTTGTTATGTAGATAGATATAACTCCAATTACAATCTATTCATTGAATAGTTGAATGCTACAAACAATGTTCATGACACTAGCCTTATAAATTGAAAATGATACTTTTGAAATCTCTATCAGTTTATGATATACAATCAAGATATTACATACTAATGAATCAGATCTAAAGTTTTTCCCAACAAATATTATACTTTTAGGTATAGAATAAATTTATCCCTAAAAAGCTGATTTCCTGACCCAGTTTTTGTCACGTACAAACCACGTCACCTTCATCTTCTTTCTTTTAGGTGACTTCCTCTTCTTCCATGCTCCCACTTGTTCCACTACATGAAGTGTTTAGTATTGATTCAAACACAGTAATATTGTTATACAAATTAACAATATATATATATATATATATTTTACACACCGATATGGCACTTATTATGTTAGGGTAGTACTATATTAAAAATAAAAAAAATAAAAAAAATCAATACATAATGATTTATCTTATTTATATCTATCAATATTAAAAGTATTAAAAGTCAAAATAGCTATTATTATGATATATATTACAAGAATGTCGTGTTATTCTGGCCTTAACAAGTAATGATAAATAATGTTCTCAAAAAAGTAATAGTAAATAAAAAAATTATATGAAATGATGATTCATTCATTCTTGTGATGTGTGTTATACTTTATCTGAAGGATTTTTCCCTTCAATTTTTGTGTATAATGTACAGATATCATTATTGAAGTAGGTCTCATTTTAAATTTCAAAACTTTATTATTACATAACACATCAGTAAAATTTTTATATAAAATTTGCGAGTTTGCACTCTACATATATTATTTTTTTAACAGGATGTTACCTCTGTTAGGTTGGGCAAGCCTAGGCCTTTTGATATTGGGACAGTCCTCTTCCTGAAAGTCGCCACTTCCACTAGGTCTTCTCTTTAACGGAGCATTATTAGCGTTTTCAACTCCTTGGGACACCACAATCAAATTGTCATCTTGGGATGCTTGATGATCATTCCTTTCAAAATCTTCTTTGCAAACCCAACGAACCCCACATTTTTGAACAACAGTTTCCCGAGAATTCCATTCAACTTCAATTTCTTCACAAAAATCCCATTCAACTTTAAATTCTTCACCCTCATTTAAATTCTCCACCGCTGAATCAAATAATACATTTCCGCGTGTCACGTAGATCACTTCCACATTTTTGGATTTAATACAAGTGAAATCTGTGTCCCATTCTATCTGTGGATTGAGTACACGTACCGTCTTATGTCTCATATCAAACCAAAGAAAATCCAATACATTCTCTACTCCGATTGCAACAACAGCAATAGCAATTCCCACGCACCTGCTATTAAACTTCAAACATACTGAAGACTTACTATTAAATTGATGGTTGAACCACTTCGGGATGTCACTTCCAGGAAATTTAATTCTAAATTGGTATATCTCACGCGAAATACTTCCCTGTACAACGAAGATTGGTCACAATATATTGTGCTTAAACCAGAGAGAGAGAGAGAGAGAGAGAGAGAGAGAGTACCTGAAATAGATTTGAAATGAATTCATCTGTTAGGATATTGCTTTCCTTATTTTCAACCAATTTGACACAATTGAAAAAATCAAATCTTTGAATGTCTTTGTATAAGAATGGACTCGCTATTTTTCTTAATGATTTGCAATGACGTGCCTCTATAACACTAATGTCTGAAGAAAGCTCTGGCAATTCTTGAAGCTTTTTGCAATTGGACAAATATATCTCCTTCAGCAATTTAAGTTGGCTCATGCTTGAAGGTAAACTTTCAAAATTGTTCCCCTCTAGATGTAATACTGTCAAATAGCAGAGCCGGCAAATTGAATACGGGAGTTGTGTAATCCTTGTGTAGGCTACATTAAGTTCCAATAAACTGACTAGATCATTAACTTCTTCAGGCAGTTTCTGAAGTTTTGAGCACCGAGAGAGAATTAAACTTTTAAGAGCTTTTAACTGACCGATGTTTTTTGGAACACTCGTCAAGTTTTTACAACATCTCAGAACCAAGCTTTTAAGATTGGTAAGATGTCCAACTGTTAACGGCAGTTCAGATATACTGGACTCAGCTAATACAAGCCTTTGTAAACATTTGGTATGTTCAAAGCTTCCCAAAGTCTTTAGCTTTGAACAGCCATATGCATTAATAATTTTAAGAGACTCCAATTCAGTGCCACTTGGAAGACTCTCAAGATTTTTGCAGCCACTCAAGTTCATGCCAACAAGCCTTCTGAGAGATCCAATGGATGGATGAAGATTAACCAAATTTTCACAACCTACAAGATATAGGCTTTCAAGATTTGGGAACTTTTTGAAGTCTGGGCTCATGGTTAGATATTCTGAGTAACTGAGATTCAAGGTCCTTAAGTTGTGTAGAACCTGTTGAGGAAATAAAATATATAAATATATATATATATATATATATGCTATGGAATTCACATCTTATTTGGAGTAAACAAAATGCAAAATTATACCTCTGTTCCCATCCATAGTTGTTCAATGTTGCTAAAAGTTATGTGAAGTTCAACAAGACACATTGGTCGAAATTCTGAAGGCAAACATCTCAAAGGATATTGACGCCAATCAAGATACCTTAAATTGTTAGGAAGATATTTGAGGTCTTCAGAAAGGACAAAAGAACGAATTATGAGAATTCTTAGGCTCGTCATCTTTGCAAAAGCTTTACCGCTCAACTTCAACTCTTCTGGAAACCCAAAATCCTTTGGATCACGATTTTCTAGGTCAGGATACTTCATAACTATGCCTTCCAGCTTTTCTGTTCCCTAATAACCACAAGTAAAGACACAAAATTAAAGGATAACAAAATTATGCAGAACTTTTCTTAAATATGTTTAAAATGTTCATGCTATTCTATAAAATCTCTTACCGTATCATTCATCAGTACATGTTTTATATCTTCATAAAGCCACAACCTACTGCGTTGTCCAGGCTCTTTAGGTGATTCTTGGCGAACAATATTTCTCCCCATTTCTTGTATCAAATCATGCATAAACAGCCTACCATGTGAAATAATTATCAGTGACTTTTCAACTAGAAGCTCTATCGCCATAGTGGGTTGGAAGCCAAAACTTTCTAAGATTTTTGTTACATCATTTATGTATTTCTGTTTGAAAAAAAATGCAATATCTAGGAATATTTCCTTATCTTCCCAACCCAATGCATCGTAACTTATTTTGAGTACTTCTTCAACTTTTGGAAGAGGACTTTGTTCTAATCTTTTTAAAGCACTTTCCCAGTAAATTTTTTTTCGATCATGAAGAAAAGAACCCAAAACTTTGAGAGCTAAAGGAACTCCTTTACAGTACTCCACTGCACGACCTAGGAGGTTTCCATAACCTCCTATTTGCTTGTCTTTTCTAAAGGCTTTTGATATAAGGAGTTTAACAGCTTCATCTTTTTTTAATTCATGAACCTTATATGTATGTGTTGCACCACATGCCTTTAACACATGCAAATCTCTAGTTGTTATAATGATTTTACTTCCAGAACTGAACCAATCATGCTCTCCAAGCAGGTTTTCCAAGTCTATCGATTCATCCACATCATCGAGAACAATGAGAACCTTTTTATGACTTATAATTCTCTTTATCATACTTTTTCCACTACTGATGCTGCTTACTTTTCGATCTTTCTCTATCAAGATTTTAGAAACGAGTTGTTCTTGAAGAAACATTATACCACATTCTTTTGAAACAGCTCTAACATTCCCATTGAAGCAGCAACCATCGAATTGCCAAGAGATACGGTCATAAACAACTTGAGCAATAGTTGTCTTCCCTATTCCACCCATTCCCCATATCCCAACGATACGAACATCATCATTCCCTAAACCTAGCAATTTTATCACTTCCTCCATATGAGAATCCATTCCAACTAGGCCTTCATCAACACTTGAATACACATTTAAATAATCAAAAATTTTCCCAACAATTTCTTCGATGAGCTTTGATTCAGACCTGTTGATTAAGAAGAAAAATAAAAGAAAATTCATGAATCATAACTCAAACAAGCTTAAACAAAGAAAAGTGAGTTAATTTTGCTCATTTCATTTCAAATATTTTGGGATGGAAATCATATTCTAAGAAAAGGATCTAGGATAGGTAGTGTGGACAATTTTCTTATAACAAAAACTTGGTCTTGGGAATGTGTTTGAATTGGGCTTAGCAAATTAGATAAAGTGCTGAAAATGTTCAAGTTGAATAATCAAATCAACAATTGCAGACATTGCTCCATTACCCTCACAAGTATATTTTCATTTCCTATACAATAATATTTAGGACACTTACGTTTTCACATGCAGCGCATTCACGAGTTTGGTCCAACTTTTCTACTTTCAAAATTTCCCAATTTTCTGCTACTAGAATGAAGTATTTCTAAATCTATCCTATACACCCTTGGCATGCGTGACACCGGCCCTTCTAAATTAACAAAACCAAACTATGTATGGACCTAATTCCAAACCCAGTAGGCCAGGTTCAACTTTCAATTACCATCTGCAGATTTGGACAGGAACGTTTTATAAACCTATGCAATTGCAAACCGTATTTACCGCAATTCAAGCACATGATAAAAACAACAATAACAGAATTAATATGCTGGGATTAAAATTGATCCACTGAACTAAAAGGTTACATTGAGAGAATTTTAGTATCGAAAGGTGCAGTAAGGTGCCTAACACCTCCCTTACTCGTAACCATAAACTCCTGATCCTAACTATTGTTTATCAGACCAAAATTTGGAATCATACATTTTCAGTAAGTGTTTTCACAAAAAGGGATTAGTAAATCCAAAACCTCAGAAAATTATTATATTTTCATTTTTCACTAAACAATTTCATTTTTCTTAAATTTGCGACTTTTTCAACTGGATAAATGCTTCCACTTTGATCCAAATTCTAATGAAAATTATACCTTTATAACAAAAATAGTGTAAATTACACTTTGTCCCCCAAAGTATGGTCATTTTCCCACTTTGGTCTTTAAGAAAAAGGATTTCCCACTTTGATCCCCAACCCCCAAAAAATTGTCTAACTTAAATAAATAAAATAAATAGTTTCTCCCAGTTACAACTTATTACATCATCCATCTTTGGCCTAGCCTTCAGAATTCTTTGGGTGCTAAATTGAGATTCAGTACAGTTTTTCACCCCAAAATTGACGAACAATCGGAAAAGACAATCCAAACTTTAGAAGACATGTTAAGAGCCTCTGTCCTAGATTTTCGAGGTAATTGGAATGAACACATTCATAGAATTTCAATACAATAATAGTTATTAGTCAAGTACTGGAATATCTCCATACAAGGTTTTGAAAAGTGGTTGTGGTCGCCGTAGCGGTTGCAGTGGTGCGGTTGCGGAGTGTAAAGGCCGTAGCGTAACGGTTGCGGTAATTGGAATTGTGATTTTTTTTTTTGAAAAAAACTTACCGATATGCACATATATATATATATATATATATATATATTTTCAGAATCACATTATGGAGGTTTAAAATAGATTTTAATCAATTTTTGTTAATTTTTAGTATAATCCAATATACATATTTTTAATTTTTAAATCACTATAAAATGAGTTTTTTACATTTTATTTCAATAGTTAAAGACTTTAAGAATAATCAATTCTAAATGTTTATACATTATTTTTGACCAATATCTGAACTAACTGAATAAAAAATATTCACAATTATTAAATGATTATAAAAATAAAAATTGTGCCCTAAACAAAAATTATTTTGAGGCATTTTTTTAGACAACACTTTACAGCTAAATAAATAAATTTGACCAATACCTGAATTAATTGAATAAAAATATTCACAATTATTAAATGATTATAAAAATAAAAATTGTGCCATAAACAAAAATTATTTTTGAGGCATTTTTTTAGACAACACTTTACAGCTAACTACATAAAATTGTTTACAATTAAGTATTAAATGAAATGATTATAAAAAAAAATTGTGCAATAAACAAAAATTATTTTTGAACTACTGATTTTATTTATTTTTTAAAGACATTTTTTAGACAATACATTAACAAAATAAAAAATATTAAATAAAATAATTATAAAAATAAATGCAACCATTGTTTACATATTTTTTATTTTACATGTTAATGTAATGAAATAAAAATTTTAAAAAATATATGTAAAGGAAAAAAAAATCATATAAGATTTTTTTCTTTGGGTTTAGATCACTTAAGTATTTGTTCTTTTGTTGTAAGCTTTTGTTATTTATTTATTTATTTTTTTGGGAAAAGAAACTATTCAGAATATTGTAAAAAGGTGTAACGGTGTGTAAAAGACCGTTACAGCCGTTATAGTACCGCTACGGCCGTTACGTAACACTGAAATGGCCGTTACACATGTGAAATTCTGTCACACTACTATAGCGACCGTAACTGGTGGTAAACGTAACGGTTGCGGCATCTTTTTATAACCTTGGCTGCATATGAAGCCTTATATGGGAGGAGATGTAGAACTCCAACGTGTTGGGATGAGGTTAGAGAGAGAAAATTGTTGGGGCCAAAGATTGTTCAAATTACTACCAATAAAGTGCAAATTTTTTGAGATAGGTTGAAGGCAGCTCAAAGTAGACAAAGAGCTATGCAGATAATTGAAGGAGAGATTTGGAATTTCAAGTTGGGGATTACGTGTTTTTACGGATCTCGCCATGGAAGGGAGTGATGCGATTTGGTAAGAAAGGCAACTAAGTCCAAGGTATATTGGGCCATTTGAGATATTGAAGTGCATTGGCAAGTCAACTTACCATTTGGCTTTACCACCTAGTCTATCTTGCATTCACGTTCCATGTATCCACACTGAAGAAGTACATGCTTGACCCATCACACGTGTTAGATTTTCAACTAATCCGACTTAGGGATGATTTGTCTTAAGAAGAGGAAGTTGTAGAGATTGTGGACAGGAGGGATCAAGTATTGACTTCTAAGACTACCATTAGTAAAAGTATTGTGGAAAAATCATGCTTTAAAAAGTGTGCCATAAATTTAAAAAAAAAAAATCATATAAGATTTTTTTCTTTGGGTTTAGATCACTTAAGTATTTGTTCTTTTGTTGTAAGCTTTTGTTATTTATTTATTTATTTTTTTGGGAAAAGAAACTATTCAGAATATTGTAAAAAGGTGTAACGGTGTGTAAAAGACCGTTACAGCCGTTATAGTACCGCTACGGCCGTTACGTAACACTGAAATGGCCGTTACACATGTGAAATTCTGTCACACTACTATAGCGACCGTAACTGGTGGTAAACGTAACGGTTGCGGCATCTTTTTATAACCTTGGCTGCATATGAAGCCTTATATGGGAGGAGATGTAGAACTCCAACGTGTTGGGATGAGGTTAGAGAGAGAAAATTGTTGGGGCCAAAGATTGTTCAAATTACTACCAATAAAGTGCAAATTTTTTGAGATAGGTTGAAGGCAGCTCAAAGTAGACAAAGAGCTATGCAGATAATTGAAGGAGAGATTTGGAATTTCAAGTTGGGGATTACGTGTTTTTACGGATCTCGCCATGAGAGAGAAAATTGCAATTTGGTAAGAAAGGCAACTAAGTCCAAGGTATATTGGGCCATTTGAGATATTGAAGTGCATTGGCAAGTCAACTTACCATTTGGCTTTACCACCTAGTCTATCTTGCATTCACGATGTGTTCCATGTATCCACACTGAAGAAGTACATGCTTGACCCATCACACGTGTTAGATTTTCAACTAATCCGACTTAGGGATGATTTGTCTTAAGAAGAGGAAGTTGTAGAGATTGTGGACAGGAGGGATCAAGTATTGCCTTCTAAGACTACCATTAGAAAAAGTATTGTGGAAAAATCATGCTTTCGAGAAAGCTACTTGGGAGCAGGAGGATGATATGAGAATCTGATATCCACATCTTTTTCAAGGTATGAACTAGAATAAATAAATAAATTTTGAGGACAAAATTCTTTTAGGGGGTAGAGAGCCAAACACCCCCTAAGTCAAACCCAACCCAAAAACCCAACCCAACCTAGGATACTTAAAACCCAACTCCAAACTTGCTTATGGGTGTAACCAAACACCACTTTTCAGCTCAAAATAAAAAAAAAATAAAAATGCATAATTTTTTTTTTTAACTCTCTCTTCCTTCTTCTCTCTAACTTTTTCTCATTTTCCTTTACTTTCTTGGTGGCCAAACATCCCTCCTTTGCTCCTCCCTTACACCACCACCTCAACCCACCATCACCACCACCACCGGCCATCTCACCTTGGCAAGAAAAGCTCCAGTCGGTGATTTTCTATCTCTACAAAAATAGCACCAAATCAAGCTCAAACACTAGATTTTTCTTAATCTCTTCAAGAATCAAAGCTTTGGGTTTCTTTTCATGATGGTTTAGAAACTTATATTTTGTAAACATCTCTCTAAAAAGTTTTAGTTTAATGTTTTACATATATAGAGTTAGAGATGGTGATTTCTAGATTTATTATGATTTAGCTTTAGTTGTTGAGTTTTATACTTATATTTAGTTTCTATAGATGTTTTTGCATGTAAAAAAATCATTAATTTAATTATTGATTTTGAGATTGACATTTGGGTTAATCAAGGGTTTGAATGTGACGTAAAAATTGGAAATTTGGGTGTTGGAAAATTTACATGTTAAAATTGATTTGGTAAATAGTGGATTGGGTACCTCTATATACTATAAATGATGTTAGAGGAATTTTATAATTTATTGAAGTGGCTTTACCTAAGTTGATGGGTTATTGGAAATGTTAATATTTGATTTTTGTGGTTTTGGTGATGGTTTGGTGTATATAAATTTGTTGGATATTTAAATAGTTGATAACTTGAAATGTATTAAGGTTGGGTGCTACGGAAATTGGATAAGTTATTTTCTTTGGGTGCATTGAGGAAGTTGGAGGAGTTTCTTAGTTTTTTGTAATTGGCAATCCCGTTTGACAAAACTCCTTTCAATTGTAATTTTATTCGCTCTTTTGTTTCAGTGAGGCTATGAGTGTTTAGATGTGAATCCAATTCAAATTGTGCCTATGCAGAGGAGTTTGTGATCTTCTTCATTTCGTGTTTACCACTTCTCTGACTAAGTACGGGGATCGAGCTGCCCAGTCAACTCGCAAGGGTCCAGGGGGTAGCATTACAACGGAGTCGCAGGGCAGCACTCTCGAAACAAAAGGCAAAAATGGAGTCGAAATTGTTTGACCACTCGAGCGGTCATTTGTGCGCTCGAGCGAATAAAATGATCATCCAGTATTTTTGCAGAACGCCTGAACTTCTGGGAAGAAAGTTTCACCGCTCAAGCGGTGAAAGTTTAGCTCAAGCAATCAGCCTACATGTTTCGCACCGCCTTTAGTCACACCGCTCAAGCAGTGAAATGTGCTTGAGCAGTCTGCGCGATCCTATTTTCTATAAAGTGCATCGTTCGCTGTTTTTAGAGTTTGAGTCGTCCAGATTTTCAAAGAGAAAGAATAAGCAAAGTGTTCTTAATGATTTAAGAGTGATCAATGGATTTGTGAACTTCATATCAAGATCATCAAGGGTTTGTTTATTTTCTTTTATTCACAAAAGAGAGAGTTGTTCTTAAGTGGATTTCGGAGAACTTGGGCCTGAAGCTTTGGTGGATTCTGAGTGGTTCATCATCGTGGATTCAACATCAACATTGTGGATTCGACGTTGGACAAGACAATTCTGGGGTGAAGACAATGGTGGAAGAGGCTCATTGGGGTCGGTTCAATTCGGGCATGGATTTGCTAGGTAATTGAGAGTATACTTGTGTAATTCCTTTTTGTCTTCTTAGTGAATTTTTTTGTGACTTTTACCCATGGTTTTTTATCACAATTGGAGGCACTCCAATTGTGGTTTTTCCACGTTAAATAGTTGTGTCGATTTGTCTTTGATTGTTTAATTGGGATTGTTATTCGTTATTTAAAATTGAAACATAATCACAAATCAATATCTCGGGGATTTAGATTTTTCGGAGTTCTTTAGGCTTTAGCTCTTATTCCATAGCATGTCTTATTTAGGTTCAACTTTGTAGATGTTGCAATTTTCCTTGAAAACATTTCCCTAGTTTTAGATCTTATTTACTAGTTGTTAAGATTGAAGGAAGGCATCTTTACACCTCTTGGGAATCAACTCCTAGAGTTTCAATCTACAATTTTTGCTATTTTGGAAGTGTGTATACTTTACCATGGAAATTCACATTACCTCTATTTGAAAAACAAGGTTTGAGACTATTTTCAATTAAAGAAGATGAATGAACTAAGTTACATGTTTTATCATGTTATTAGTACGTATTGAAAACCTATAAATTTATTTGGGGTCAAAAGTTAAATTTTAAATAAATTATTTTTGTGTATAAAGAGGCAACAAGTTTTTCAAGAGAATGTATTCAAGTTGAGTCTTTCAAATTTTATAATGATGATATTGGAATGACAACATTACGTTATGCAAAAATATTTCTTTTCATTGATCGTACGACCGAATATAACCTATGTGGCCACAAAGGCAGAAATGCCTTGGGGTCCTAGGGACCGAAATGTTTTAAGGACCATTTGGGTCGCTGTACATAAGGGGTCCTGGGAACCAAAATATTGAAATGAGAATTGTAATACTATGATGACATGAGTCATGTTTCCTATGGGTATATTTTGGGTAACGGTACTATCACCACCTAAGTCGCAGGGTAACTTGATATGTAGTGAATTGTATGATGGACACAAAATTTTAATGTATTGAAAATTTGTATTTTTATTTTAATCTCCTTGTTTCAAATGTTTTTTTTACCACATTTTGATATTCTTTGAAAAATCTCGATAATGGTTTATGCAAATTTTCACAAATTTTCACTATGTATTAATTTCATTCCAATCAAGCTCTTATTTTTATTATTCTTATTATTGACCCCAATTGGAAGGAACAAGTTTTTATAACTCCTTGGGATTGGTATACTCATTGAGCTCTAGCTTATTCTTCTAAATTAAATCTTTTTCAAATTTCTAGATTATAGTGTGGCTCGCTTGAACTTGAAGCCTTAGATTTTCTAGAGGATCAAAGGTGGGCATTTTGTAGTTGAGGTTTTGCATAGGGTTACTCAAGGATGTAGTTTTATCTTTTGTATTTATGAAGGAAGTTGATTCTAAATATTTTTATTATGAAGTTTGATGTAAAAATGGATTCGTGTTAGTGTTTTTGGAAAATGGTGCAGGGAAACTAACTTAGTGGCATGATGATATTTTTGTATTTGAGTGGATTAATTAGTATATAATGGCTGATTGAAAGGTTTTACGCACTATTGGTGATGTAAATATATGGATTGTATAGGAGATTATTGTGTATAGGTGTCATAGTGCTTGAGGTTTGTTTACTCTATCCACCTTTCCCACCCCACTGCCACAACCAACCACCTCTGCTCTTCTACCCCACCCTCACAATTGACCACCTTTCCTTTCCAACCCACCACATATTTCAATTTGTAGCCTCGTCACTTGTCAAATGATGCAAACCTATTGCAAATTTGTTTTTCTGTTTTCTTGTTTTTTTTTTCTCCGTTTGTTGATATTTTTTAGATTAAGTTTGGGTTTATGGTCCGAATTAGGAAATTTTCAAAAGCGAGAAAAATTTTCTACTGACCAAATTCACCTTAAGGTTGTGTTTGACATATGGATTTGGGTAAAGGAAAAAGAAAAAAAATATGTGAAATATGTCAAACGTAACTAAATTTCATTTATATTTCACCCGCATTTTCTCTTTCCAAATCTCACAAAATTTCTGAACCAACCAAACACAGACTAAGGAGCAAGGTTTTAAAAAGCAACCGCAACCGTTACATAACGTCGTTACGTAACAGTTGTAGTGGTTACCGCCATCCGTTACGGCCGCTATAACGATGTGATAGAAATTCAAGTGTACCGGCCATTTCGGTGTTACGTAATGGCTGTAGAGATACCGTAACGGCGGTAATGGTCCATTAGTTACTGTTATATCCTTTTATAATATTCTGATTTGCGAACTAAAGTGAGAGAATATTTTCTTAAGAACAAAATAGCAAGAAATAAGAGTTATTTTACATGAAGACCCCTAAACTATTAACTCCCTAAACTATAAAAACACATAAATAGACCTCTAAATTATTGAGAAGTAGACCCCTAAACCATAAAAGACCACAAATAAACTCCTCAACTATTAGTGTGTTTCACTTTGACCCCTTCTATGAAGGATCCAATTTGTACAAGGGGCTATTTGTACGATTTTATAATTTAGGACATAAAATGATATTTCTCAATAATTTACCATTTATATGATTTTATAATGTAAAAAGTCAAATATTATTTCTCAATAATTTAAGGATCCACCGTGTAAGTAGTCCTTAAGAAGGAACTCATACTTAAAAGAGTGAAAGTGTAATTTACCCAATAAATAATAAAAAGTGGAACTAAATCAAAGAAGCATATGTTAAAAGCGTAATGGTAGATATCCAAAAGATTTATCAAAATTTCTGGAGTAAATTACACTTACACATTTGAGATTTGAATTTAATACATATCAAACCATGACATTTGGAAAATTACACTAATCCCATCACTGTGATTATTTAAACAAAATGAAAATACTGAACCCACACACACCCACTTGCTGTCAGTGTCACACCCGGATACGACACATTTGGTAAAAATTTTAATAAATTGTTTGACATGTCAAAATTTTCCATGTTAAAAATGTAGGAGAAATTTATTACCCGAATGCTGGATTTGGGAAAGTGAAACCTGCTAAATTGCCTACCTCCTTCAAAGCTTTCTTCCAACTTTGAACCTTCTCCATCTTCATCTCCATCTCCATCTCCATCTCAAGCTTGGAAACCAATTCATCAAATCGTTTCCCAAAATTCCCCTTTTGTTTTCGCACATCCGATGGATCCACACGGTAAAAAACTGGATAAACGATTTGCCCCCTCGCATCATTGCATTCACGTATCCTCACAAGTTCATCCAAGCACCAACTTGACGAAGCATAGTTTTCCGATATGATGACAATCGAAAACATTGATTCGTCAATAGCTTTGAGGAGTTCTGGCGAAATTTTTTTCCCTCTTTGGAGCTCTTTATCGTCTATGAAGGTGTTGATTCCCTTTCGCTTCAACTCTTTATAGAGATGACTGAGGAAATTGTCGCGAGTGTCTTCGCCTCTGAAGCTCAAAAACACATCGTATGTCCATTGAAGAGGATGAGAAGACGAAGATAATGATGATGATGATCGAATAGAGGAATTGGATCTTTGGAAAGGCGCCAAAGCCATTGTGAACTTGAGAGTGAAAACTTGTAGTGTGAATTGGAAATTTTTTTAGATGATCTGGATGGATGAGTGTTTTCTCGTGTTTTATATTACGAGTATTTGCGTTATTTGCAAACATTTTGGCCGTTTTCGGAACTTCCACGAACTTTCGTTGTGGTTTTTTTTAAAGAGTAAACGACGACTTATTAGATTCTCCCCGAGGTGCACGCAGTAGATGCCGCCTTGTCTGTTATTTTAATAATTTTTTAATTAAAATATGAGATTAAAAAATTTATAGGTTTAAAATAATTTTTTAAGTTTTTATGAAAAGATGTGTAAAAAATAAAACAAAAAAAAACAATATTTGATTTTTTAGTATAAGCTAATGATTTTTTGATTTTTTTAATAACTTTTTGATTTTTAGACAGCCAAGTTTGGGAAGACTAAATAAGTGCATTTTTTGACTTTTCTTGTATTATGTGTAGAAAAAGTAGAGAGGAAATGTTGATTGATGTGACCTAAAAAAAGATAAAAAGATGAAATAAGTGCACTTTTTTAGTTTAGCCAAACTTGGCCTAAAACTATTACTTGAATCAAACTTTTCAAGCTCACTGGATTTATCATGATTTTTGTTACAATAATTTAAACTGTTCAATGTGTAGAGTTTGTTAAATATTTTTATTCTTATAAAAATCATATTAATCAATTATCGATAGCTACTTGATCGCATCAAATTTCTGTCAACAATTTATTTTGAAAACCAATTTTACCGTTGACTGAAATGTGTTTTGATTAAGTGGTTATCCATATCCGATTAACATAATTTTTTGCAAGGATAAAATACTCAACGAGTTCTACACACTAAACGATTTGGATTATTGAAAAAGAACCCATGATGGACCATCACGAGCCCAACAATACATTCCAATTTGATTTCGGACTGAAGAGAATCCTATCCCAAATTACAAATACAGGTTGTTTAAAATAACGACTTGTTGTTAGTAGTTTTGGAGATTAAATTTTGCTATTTGAAATTTTTAATTTCATAATAAATTGTCATTTTTATTAATAAATTATCATATCAATTAATAGTTGTTGATGAAATTAGAAAATTATTTTAATTAATAATTTATATAATTTTATCATCATATAGGAGAGCAGTTAAAATTTTATTTTTTTCAACTAATTCTATTAAATTAAAAAATTCTAATAATTTTTTTTTGTAATTTTTCAAATCACAATAAATAATTCATATTTTGAACAAATATCAAAGATATATTTATAATTTATTATTATTATTTTTTAATATAATACCACGTTTTGCAAGTAGTTTTGTCTTCCTAACTTTTATGAATTTTAAAAAGCAAATTAATGAAACATCCCTCTTCACTAAAAATAAATTTAAAAGATGTATTTATAATTTATTATTATTTTTTTTTATATAAACGAATTTTAGATGCACCTTATCAGAATGTATCTAAAAAATAAAATAAATTGGCTAAAATATTTATAAAAAAAATTAATATGAAAAAAAATTATTCAGATTTTTGTTTGTTTTTAGTGAATTATTTTTCATATTTGAGTTAAGTGTTTTTACTTTTTAAATGTATCTAAAAAGTTTTTTTTTAAAAAAATTGATAAAAATATGAAAAAAGTTCAATAAAGGCAAAAGAAAATCTATCTAAAAATTAAAACCAAACAAGGACTTATGTTCAAAATTTGATAAAAAAATATTAACAGTTACGTAATATACAAATATTTTATTATATATAACTCACCCTTTTAATACAAACTCGAACCCTAGTATAATAATATTTTTTTATGTAATATGGTAACCAACGTGATATTTTCTATCAAATTTTAAATGTGTAAGAGGAGCTAATTTAAGCCCACTAAATTATTTAGGCCCAATAGCCCAAGATTAGTGGGCCCGAATTTATCGCAAGCCCAAGATTGGTGGGCTTGGATTTATCTCCGTCAAACGGGCTGAATGGCTCTAAGCCTCAAAAGGGTTCGGATCCACGAACCTAGAGACTTACTCGGGCCCGGACTCGAAAGGGTATTAAGCAAGCCTAGAGATCCGAGGCACTCGGACTCGAAAGGGTTCGGATTCACGAACCTAGAGGTCCTAAACACTTGGCTTTGAACGGATTCAGACGCAATCTAGAAGTCGCTCCGTTAATGAGTCCCAGAACACTTGCGGGCTCGGAGCTTTCCGGGATCTACGCACCAGAACCATGGGCGTAATGGAGTTCGAACAAAGGACCCGATCCCGAGGACGGTGAGTGGAGATAAATTCACTCTTCGGTTAAACTAGCCTATACCGGGTCGAGGTGGCACGACCCCGGGGGGTCCATGAGACTCGGCAATATTTTTTTTGCGGCAGGACGTCCTCTGGGACTACCCCTGACCTTTTGGGATGATTGGGGATCATTGGTTAGGTGTGGCTAAGAAGAAGGGTTCGCCAAGGGACTAATCTCCTCTTCGGGGTTTTCCTCATCCTCGGAGAGGTCACCTCATCGGACAAAGTAGTTAGAGAGAATATCCCCCATGTGCCTTGCACATGGGCTCCATCCTACATCATGAGGTGCCTATAAATAGCACCCACCCATAGTTTTACAAGGGATGGATTTTGGAGATTCTTAACTCTTGGGAAAGAACTAATTTCCCTTCTCCATTATCAACCTTGAGAGTGAAAGTGGGAGATCAAAGGGAGAGCCTTGCCATTATTCTATTCTCTAGCCATTTTGCCTTATTCTTCACCCAATCTCTTATCTCCATCATCTCCTTTGTTGTTGTGTTCCTAAGTTGAGATTATTGAAGAATCTAAGCCTCTCATCATATTCTAGAGAATTCGAAGTTGTTCTTCAAGGATCTTCGAAGATCTTCGAATTTTCCAACTCTTTTCTTGAACCCTTTCCTACAAAATAAAAGTTAACTTTAAAAATAAAATAAAAAATATTTAAGACATGAAAGGCTAAAGCAAAAAAATAATATATACATAAATTGCTACAAAGTAATGGCTAAAAACAAAGGCCACAACCATAAAGATTGTTGCTAAAAAATAGACATAAATTTCAATGAGAAATTGGAAATTGAAAACTAAAAACCAAAAAAAGTAGGATGGAGTGAATTGGGTTTTGATCATTATAATGATTCAACGTCACCACAGCCATTAACCATCCTTTCAATAAAGCTCAAAGCATAGATTAAAATGTACAATATTTGCTTTCGTAATTGTTATATCTTCAAATCACAAATGAACTAAATTGGGCAATAGTTTATCTTCTTATTTCTCACATATGTGATAGTGATATTTTTTCCACCGTAACTCGCCATACTGACCAATGAGTCCTTAGAGAAGCCACAAAAAGCGCTTGAAGACCATAAGCTTCCTAAGCAAGCAGTGGCCCTTGTAGGCATGAAAAGAATTGGGGCATTTTGTCAAACCACTTATATTGTGTTTGGTTGGAGAATTTGGGTAGAGATTTGGAAAGAAAAATGAAAAAGGTAGGTAAAATGTGAATAAAATATACCTACATTTCACTTAATTTCACACATCTTTTTCTTTTCCCTTTCTAAATCCCTCCCTAAATCTTCCAACCAAACACATCATTAAAGACGTAATGGAGTTGAGTGGGACATTACCTATCCATTGATGCCACAACTCAGACATAGCTTGGCTCCTAGCCATCGCTGCCCAATCCCTGTCCATCGCAATTTATATCCCTCATCTTCTTTTGGTTTTTTGGAATTTAATTGTGCAGAAAATCAAATCCTCAACAATATGCTAAACGAAACTAACATTTCCATGCCTTGTGGCTTCGAATTGGGCGATGGATAACCCTTAGCAATCAGATCATGGACCACAGTCACCACCTCCATTGCCACTAGTGTCCCAGAAAAACTAGTACCAAATAAAAACACTAAAATGTTTAACTTTCTCCACATTTTGATGTTATTATTTATGAATTGAAGCCATTATGTGTTGGAGTTGGTGGGAATGCTAATAAGCACACAATTAAATCATTATAAATTGTTACATTACTTATTTTATTTTCTGCATATTTTTTTACAAAAAATATAATTAAAAAAAATACATTAAAATAATTAATTTTCAAACGAACCCTTAATATGATTTTTTTAGATACATAAAAGGATGAAATTAATTGTTGTGAGATAATATTTTAAAAAAATGATAAATATGTATATATATAACTATTTTAACAAAAAAATTGTCAGGGTGTTCTACATGTGTGGATTGGTATAGGCCTTGAGGAGTTTTGGGGGGAGGAGCTCTACCTATGCAATGACGTGTGCCCACAGGTGCGGCAAAATGGGGCAGCTTTTGGTTGGAGATTGCGGAAAACTACACGTGCAACCAAGGGACACTATATGTGCAGATGGGGCCAACACATGTGCGGCCTCAGGCTCTGAGGTGCAGCCTAGAGCGTTTCAGACCTTGAATTTTGTGCCCTCTCGTACAAAATTCGTCCGTCTCCCTTTGGTTGGAGACTATGGGAAACCGAACGTGTCACCAAGGGGCACTGCACATGCAGAGGTAGCCACCACAGGTGCGGCCTAGCGCATTTTAGATCTTGAATTTTGTGCCCTCTCACAAAAATTAAAATTTATGATTTATTTTAAGACAGGCAAAATCTTAAGTTTCTTTTTTTTGTTTTTTTCTTATTTTTTCAAAATAGTGGGGGAAGATTTTGGTGGGCGTGAAGAGAGAGTTAATTGGATCGTCATAGTTGTAGTACAAGTATAAGCCCGAGATAGAGGAGAGATTGCAATTTGGACAAGAGTGGCTGAAGCAAAAGTGAGAATCAGAGATGAGATGGAGCCAATTCATGGAGATAGACTTGAAAGTGATTAGGGATGTGATGACCAGTTTTGTTATATGTCTTTTCATTCTTTGTCTTCATTGGATTCGTTGCGTTCAGAAGTTTTTCTCAAATTTATGTCCTTGTTTATTCTAGGTTGAGTGTCACTTGTTTCGGAGGATGCACGGTCGAATCCGGAGTGTCTGGAATCGAACCGAAAAAAATTTGGGCTGGAGGACCAGGGCCACGCGTGCGGGACCTTGGGCCGCACGTGCGAGAGATGAAGCCGCACGTGCAATGAACTAGGGTT